TCAAGCACTTGGGCCATCTTCTACTGCTTTCCCAGGTCATAGCAGAGAGCTAGATGAGAAGTGGAGCAGCCGGGTCTCGAACCGGCACCTATATGGGATGCTGGCACTTCAGGCCAGGGCGTTAACCCGCTGTGCCAAAGCGACAGCCCCAATAAGTAATTTTTTAAAAATAAAATAAAAATAATCTAAACATTTTAGTAAACTCCATGACGAGGTACAATTTATGGAAGCTTTGTGAATTAAAAATAAAAAAACTTTGACCCAAATCCCATCTAGCGGTAATTATAACATACTTAAGACCACCCTAAAGGGAAAAATCGGCTTTAAACTTGAATCTATAAACATCACTTTATTTTTTTATAGATTTATTTATTTATTTGAAAGTGAGAGTTACACACAAAGAGAGAAGGTGAGGCAGAGAGAGAGAGAGAGTGAGAGAGTGAGAGAGTGAGAGAGTCTTCCATCCGCTGGTTCACTCCCCAATTGGCTGCAACAGCCGAAGCTGTGCCAATCCAAAGCCAGGAGCCAGGAACTTCTGGGTCTCCAACGTGGTTGCAGGGGCCTAAGGACTTGGGCCATCTTCTACTGCTTTCCTAGGCCATAGCAGAGAGCTGGATTGGAAGAGGAGCAGCCAGGACTCAAACCGGTACCCATATGGGATTCCGGCACTGCAGGCAGCAGCTTTACTCACTACACCATAGAACCAGCCCTAATCCTCACTTTATTAGTCTTTCTCTGAATTATATGAAAAAAGGTACAATTCTCTTAATTGCTATAGAAAAAATGATGAGAAATAACCCTGTAGGTTACTATTTAAAAAGAGGCAGAAGGTGCCATTCTAACACCTCAAAGACTAGTAAGGATATTAAAAGATAAATTTTGATATGTAAGGAAAAATGCACATCAGGCACGTTTTAATTAGAACGAGATTTTTAAATGGCAGAAATCAGGGTCAGCACTGTGGCATAGCGGTGCAGCCACTATGCTGGCATCCCATATGGTTCAAGTCCCAGCTGCTCTACTTCTGATCCATCTCTGCTGTGGCCTGAGAAAGCAGTAAAAGATGGCCCAAGTGCTTAGGCCCCTGCACCCCTGTGAGAGACCCAGAAGCTCCTGGCTCCTGGCTTCGAACCAGCTCAACTCCAGCCATTGCGGCCAGTGAACCAAGTGGATGGACGACCTCTCTCTCTCTCTCTCTGCCTCTCTTCTAACTCTGACTTTCAAATAAATAAATAAATCTTTAAAATAAATAAATAAATGGAAGAAATGAAAAAAGATGTCTGTTATGTAGTACTGTTTTTAGTACCCATGACTTCTTTTTAAAGATTTATTTTATTTATTTGAAAGAGTTACAGAAAGAGGTAGAGACAGAGAAGTCTTCCATCCACTGGTTCACTCCCCAGATGGCTGCAATGGCTGGAGCTGCGCCAATCCGAAGCCAGAAGCCAGAATCTTCTTCCAGGTCTCCCACACGGGTGCAGGGGCCCAAGCACTTGGGCCATCTTCTACTGCTTTCTCAGGCCATAGCAGAGAGCTGGATCGGAAAAGGAGCAGCCGAGACTAGAACCTAGAACTGGCGCCCGTGGCAGCGCTTCAGGCTAGGGCGTTAACCACTGTGCCACAGCGCTAGCCCCACCCATGACTTTTAAATAAATACTATTTTTCTGGGGCTGGCGCTGTGGCTCAGTATGTTAATCCTCCACCTGTGGTGCCAGCATGCCATATGGGTGCCGAGTTCGAGTTCCAGCTGTTCCACTTTCAACCCAGCTCTCTGCTATGGCCTGGGAAAGCAGTAGAAGATGGCCCAGGTCCTTGGGCCCCTGCACCCATGTGGGAGACCCAGAAGAAGCTCCTGGCTTCAGATAGGCTTAGCTCTGGCCATTGTGAGCATTTGGGGAGTAAACCAGGGGATGGAAGACCTTTCTCTCTGGCTCTCCCTCTCACTGTCTATAACTCTATCTTTCAAGTAAATAAAAATCTTTTGGCCAGCGCCACGGCTCACTAGGCTAATCCTCCACCTGCGGCGCCGGCACCCCGGGTTCTAGTCCCGGTTGGGGCGCTGGATTCTGTCCCGGTTGTTCCTCTTCCAGTTCAGCTCTCTGCTGTGGCCCGGGAAGGCAGTGTAGGATGGCCCAAGTGCTTGGGGCCTGCACCCGCATGGGAGACCAGGAGGAGGCACCTGGCTCCTGGTTTCAGATCGGCGCAGCACCGGCCGTAGCGGCCATTTGAGGGGTGAACCAATGGAAGGAAGACCTTTCTCTCTGTCTGTCTCTCACTGTCTAACTCTGCCTGTCAAAAAAAAAAATAAATCTTTTAAAAAATAAATAAATACTATTTTTCCTTGTAATTGTTCTTATCATCATTTAAGCTTTACCTATAGAAAAGGCTGACGCTATGGTGTGGGAGGTAAAGCCGCCGCCTACAATGCCAGCATCCCATATGGGCGCCAGTTCCAGTCCCAGCTGCTTCACTTCCAATCCAGCTCTCTGCTATGGCCTGGAAAAGCAGTAGAAGATGGCCCAAGTCCTTGAGCGCCTGTGCCCACGTGGGAAACCCAGAAGCTCCTAGCTCCTGGCTTTGGATCGGCCCAGCTCTGGCTGTTGCAGCAATCTGGAGAGTGAACCAGTGGATGGAAGACCTCTCTGTCTCTGCCTTTCAAATAAATAATTAAAAAAAAAAAGTTTTACCTACAGAGGTCCACGATCCCTTAATTTTAATTAAAAAATCCAAAAGACTGTGACAAACTTTCATTATTCATTTGGTGGCAAAACATGACATGAAGTTACTTATAATATTTATTTAGCCCAGTTACTGTGAACATTCAGCAATTTACTACAAACAGTAATGTGCTGCCCAGACCTCTCTCTGGTGTTATAAAATCCATACTATATGTAGTATATTTCCCTTCTAAGCTCCAAAAATATCTAATCTCAGGGGCACATCTGGTCCCAAAAACTAATTTGGGGGAGGGGGCAAGATAGACTAATTAAGACTAAGCCTTCATATAAAGAAAATATAGCTTCTACTGAAAGTGATGGTAGATCTTCATATACAACAAATTCAAAGTGTCAGCAATTCTCTCTCTCTCACACTCACTCACACACATACACACACACACACACACACACTCCTGGAAAATAAAGTACTAAAAAAAATTTAACAAATGTCAAAAACTGAAAACCTCATTATATGTTTTTCAAGTGATGGTGACATTTGCATCCTGTATTATCTAAATCAATTCCTCTTGTGTTGAAATCCACTGATGTAAATCACAGCTAAAGGACAGCCAAAGATTGGCCTACTAATCGTGTTGAGAAAAAGAATTACCCATTGATAAATACGCTGCTCAATGAAAATGTTCTAATCTTGCAAAAATTCATCTGAGGGGTTTAGGATTTAAAGTTATTTCATTCTAGAAGCCAATTTCCGAATGTCTAGCGAGTTACAACTGGCTTTTCTGTGAAAGTAGAGCCTTGGACACGGATAGACACGGGGACAGCTCTTACAGATATCTGAACAGGAAGAAGAGTTTCACAGTTCTTTCCTTCCTTCCTCCTCTAGTTGTTGCTTTTCTGGTTTTAGAATTTCAAACAAAGAAATACATATTGGCTCCACTGCTAAGAGACGCCCTCTTTCTCAGCAACTTCCTCTTCCAATTTTCTTCTCCACCATTGACACATGAGAACAATACCCACAGCCAGTCCCACCATTGTGATGAACCAAAAGCTCTGAGGTTTGGAAAAATTAAAGGCTGCAATTTATAGTAACCAATGACCTCCTACCCCAAATCTACAATCTTCACTCATCTAGAACTCAGGTAACAGGAACACGAAGAAAAGAACGTGAAGTTTAATCAGAAGCAGGCTACTGAACATTTCACCCCAAGGAATCCAAAGAAATGTGAACTAAGAAATGGGAAATTCCTCTCATCGCAGGAAAACCCAGCCTTCCTCGGGAGGAGGAAAAAGCCACTGGGCCGGCAGCACCCTGAGTCACAGGTCAAGCCTCTTCACCAACGCGTGGTGAACTTTCCTCTGGAGGCCACGGCCCCGGGATGCCACGGAGCTCCCTGGCGTCCTGGCTCCAGAGTGACTTTTTCAGCTCAGAAATGGACGTGTGCAGACACCACGACCCCGCGCGTGTCTGGGCCAGCCCCCTCCCCCATCTGTGACAAAGCAGACTTCCCTACTGCCGCCTTTTAAGTGAGCAGCGACTTAGTCCTCGCCCTTAACGCTGCTGGCAAGTTCTGCTCTTTACTGGGTGACCCTGGAGAAGAAACTTCACTCCTCTGAAACTCAGTTTCCTATGTGTTAACTTCTCAAAGGTAGCTGCAAAAAACAAGGACCAGAGGCTGGCACGTAGCAGGAAGCCATAAATGTCCCTCCTCTAAACTCTGCTGCCTTCGGGGGCTCCATTCCAATCCCAGCCCCCAAAAGGCCCCAAAGATGCCCTTCTCTTCCCTGATTGTTTGGACAGCCCTACAAAACTGTCCCTCCGGCCGCCTCGCCTCCATGCTGTCAACCACACACACTCGGTCCCTGTCCGGTCCTCCACCTGGCAGCCCAGCGCGCCGGACAAGGAAACTGAGGCTGGGCCTGGGGAAGAACTTGCCCAAGCCCTCGGCCAAGAGCTGCCACCCAACTCTCGTGCGTCCGCTGACAAAACTCTCATTTTACAAACGGGGAAACCGAGGCCCAGAGAAGGAAGTGACTTGCTCAAGATCACACCGACAGAGAGTTGGAGGCAGAGCCGAGTCACGTCGGGGCACTTGCGCGGCCTCTCACACTTGTGGGTCCCTCCAAGTCTCCGAGGGGACTCCGGGTCACCCCCTGAGCTGGGATGGACTAAGACGCCACCCCGCGCTGACCGCTCGCCCGGCCTCCGCCGCAGCAGGAGGCGCGGCACCCTCTCCCCCGGGACCCGGCGCGGCGCGAGAGGGGCGGCCCGGCGGGGGCCCGCGCCTCACCGCGGGGCCCGCCCAAGGGGGACTTGTTGCTCACCTGGCCTCGCGCGGTCGCCCTCAGCGACAAGAAGGGCCGGCCGGCCGCCCCGTCTCCGCACGGGGTGTGGCCCCGCGGACCGCCTCGCGGGCTGCCACACAGCCGGACCCCCCTCAACGCGCTACGCCCCCAGCCGCGCTCGCCCGGCCCGAGTCCGCCATTACGCGATTCCCCGCCCCGGGACGCAGACACACCCCGCCAACCGTCCTGATTGGTTCCCTGCCCCACCCACCGGGCACTTCCAGGCATTCCATTGGCCTGAGTGGAATGCCAGTTAAATAACTACGCAAAAGACGTACCCAAGGGTACTGTCCCGGGAGCTCCACCCGAGCGACTTCCGCAATCAGAGTAAACAGCGGGGCGCAGACCAAGTGAAGTGGGGGTGGAGACTAAGGCAAATCAGCTCCTAAATTCGGAGTAGAAAAATCCCACCCAAGAAAGTCTGAAGTGTGTTAAAAGACGAATTCGTCTCATTAGGGTTCAAAGAAGCTGTATAGTTGGTGGAAGGAAGGGACCAAGCCCGTGAACTTCATGGGATCACCCCTCAAGTTGCAGATAGTTTTGTCCCTTTAGTCTTGAAGCGGGCGGGAAGTAAGTAGGGTGGGGAGAGTGAGTCACAGGTTCCAGTCCGCGCACTGAAGTACCCCACCCGGGGCGAGGGCCCAGTGCCGGGGCTGGGAGCTGGTTGTCAAAGGCCTAGGTCAGAGGAGCTGGAACCCAGTGCAACGAGCAGCTCAGACTCTCGCAACCCATCTGGGTCTCAGTTTGTCCTTCTGTAAAATAGGCGCCTTGTGTCTGCCTCACATCCTGGGCTGGTTGTTGAGAATTCACGCATGAGTGAGCCTGTGGACGTCTTGTCGATCCCCAAAAGCCTGCGGCTGGATAATGTTGTGAGCCCAAAGATCTCCCTTAGTTCTCTACAGCAACCCTGTAAGGCACATGTCCTCATCTTGCAGAAGAGAAAACGGTATTGTCTCCTGGGTATTGCATGATTCACCCAGCCGTGGAGTTCAAACCTGTAGGAAGGGTCTTCAAAAAGGGAGTGGGAGATATGTATTATGAAAAACACTTGGGGCCGACGCTGTGGCCTGGCGGGTTAAGCTGCTGCCTGCAACACCTTCATCCAGTGTGGCCGCTAGTTCCAATCCTGGCTGCTTCACTTTGATCCAGCTCCCGGCTAACGTGCCTGGGAAAGCAGCAGGAGTTGGTCCAAGCGCTTGGGCCCCTGCACCCACGTGGGAGGCCTAGAAGAAGCTTCTGGCTTCTGGCTTCGGCCTGGCTCGTTCCTGGCTGTTGCAACCGTCTGGGGAGAGAACCAGGGGATGGAAGATCTGTCTCTCCCTCTCTGTAACTTTTTATTTGAAAGACAGAGTTACAGAGAGGCAAAGGCAGAGGCAGAGAGAGGTCTTCCATCCGCTGGTTCACATTCCAAATGGCCACAACGGCCAGAGCTGAGCCGATCCAGATTTTCCATGTGGGTGCAGGGGCCCAAGGACTTGGGCCATCTTCCACTGCCTTCCCAGGCCATAGCAGAGAGCTGGATCAGAAGTGAAGCAGCCGGGTCTCGAACCAGCATCTATATGGGATGACGGCACTGCAGGCAACTGCTATGCCACAGTGCTGGCCCCCTAAATATTTTTTTATAAAAAATATTTATTTTTACTTTATTTTATTTATTTGAAAGTCAGTTACAGAGAGAAGTAGAGAGAGAGAGAGAGCAAGGTCTTCCATCTGCTCCTGCACTCTCCAAATGGCCGCAACGGCCAAAGCTGAGCCTGAGCCAGGAGCTTCTTCCGGGTCTCCCACATGGGTGCAGGGGCCCAAGGACTTGGGCCGTCCTTTACTGCTTTCCCAGACACATTAGCAGGGAGCTGGATCGGAAGTGGAGCAGCTCCAACGGGCACCGTATGAGATACTGTCTCTGAAGGCCAGGGCTTTAACGTGCTGTGCCACAACACCAGCCCCTAAATAAAATAAACCTTAAATCTTAAATCTTAAAATAAACAAACAAAAAAAGAAAAAACTATATGTGGACTTCAAAGACTTCTGCACCAAAATAAACTTACCTTTTAATTCATTTTACCATGAACACTTATTTTGAGGTGAGTGCCCTCCTGTCTTTGGCCTTCCATTCCTGCATTTCTGCCCCTCAGGCCCCGCCCCATCCCCTTCCCATTCCAGGAAAGATCTTAAGGGAGCCAGACCAGTCCCTCATCTCTCCAGTCACGGGGCACAGGCAACCCCCAGGCTAGGGTTAGTCACCAAGGTTCCTGAGGAAAAGTGACTTTAGGGGTGTGTCCGAGCTGTTTCTGGGATCTTAGGGATCAAGAGTGAAGAATGGTGGCTGAGGACAGGACACAGCGCTCCAGGAGAGGCAGCGACACCACTGTGGGCCCTAGGCGGGGCAGCCTCCGCGCCAGGTCTCTGCTGTCAGAACAGGGCTCCGTTCACCGCAGGACTGTTTTTCCCAGAAGGGCTGTCTTGGCTGCAATTCCAAGTCCTTTTCCCTCCCTGGAAAGGAAGGAGGCCAAGAAGGGAATGGGAGGGGGAGCAGCCCAAGATGCTAGAAGGGTAGAGACAGCCAAATGGGTGGTGTCCCAGAGCCTCTGTGCTGTCTGCGTTGGTGTCCTCCAGGCTCAGTTTGGGATATGTGGCCTGACAACGAATGGCTATTTAAATCCTAGCTGCGGCTGCCGGGGGCTGGGAGGCGGCTGCGCAGAAGGCAGCGGCTTTAGGGTCAGACTGACCTGAGTTCGAATCCAAGCCCCACCAGTTTCTAGCTGCGAACTTCACCTACCCCTTCTTTAAAATGGGGGCAACATGGCGATTGCAGGGCAACACTGGGTTCATGGTGGTATTACTGAATTGTGCCTGTCAGGTTCTGGTAGTGATTTATCCATTCCTGGACTCATCCATTCAATAAGAAACCATGAAGCACCTGCGGCAGGTAGGGCAGCCTGCCAATGGCTCAGCTACAGCGGTGAGCAGAACAGGCTCAGGCCTCGTGGATCTTAGTCTTAGAGGAAAAAAGCCTCTTGAAACAAATGAGCATGAAATCAAAACGCAGTAAGGAATGTGGTAAGGAACAAGAAGGCAGGGTACGACATGTATTTTTGAGTGAGCATCAGGCGACGGGGTGGCATCAAAGGAAGCTTCCAGAAGAGGTAATGCCTGGAGTAGGTGGTTCATGGGGGTACATCTGCTCATGAAGGTGGGAGATTGGGAGAAGCTTTGCAGACAAAAGGAAGGTGGGGTGTGGAAGCCGTGCAGGCCAGGGGACAGCCAGCAGCAGTGGGGAGGGAGGCCAGAGCACACAGAGCATGGGAGCCACCACAGGGAGTATCCTGGTTCACTCTCAAATAGCCACAATGAAGCCAGAAGCCAGAAGCCAGGAGCTTCATCTGGATCTTCCACATGGGTGCAGGGACCCACGGACTTGGGCCATCTTCTGATGCTTTCTCAGGCCCATTAGCCAGGAGCTGGATTGGAAGTGGAGCAGCCAGGATTTGAACCAGTGCCGATATGGGATGCTGGTACTGCAGGCGGTGATTTAACCCATTACACTACAACGCTGGCCCCTAAGTGAATCTTTTTTTCTTTAAGGTTTATTTATTTATTTGAAAGGCAGAAATGCAGGGTTATAGACAGAGAGAGAGAGAGAAGGAGAGGCAGAGAGAGAGAGAGAGAGAGAGAGATCTTCCACTTGCTGGTTCAGCCTCCAAATGGTTGCAATGGTCAGTGCTGGGCCAGGCCGAAGCCAGGAGCCAGGAGCTTCTTCCAGGTCTCCCATGTGGGTGCAGGGTCCCAAGCACTTGGGCCATATCCTGCTACTTTCCCAGACACATTAGCAGGGAGCTGGATGGAAAGTGGAGCAGCTGGGTCTTGAAATGGTACCCATTATGGGATGTTGGGCACCGTAGACCCTGGCTTTACCTGCTATGCCACAGTGCTGGCCCTCAATACATAAATCTTTTTTAAAAATAAAATTAGAAGATTTAAACCCAGGCAGGGGTGGGCATTTGGCACAGCAGGTTGAGATGCTGGTTAGGATGCTCGGGTCCTTTGTTGTGTTGAAGGGCCTGGGCTGGAGTTCCAGCTCCACCTGGCAGTTGTGGGCACTAGCAAGTGGGAACTCTTTGTCAAAGAACGAATAAATGAATAAACCCAGGAGGGTCTGCCTCAAAGCTTGCGTTCTTTTAGGGACTGTAAGACCAGCAGAGACTCCTGGCTAACAGCCCCACTGTTAAAGTCAGTTTCCCTTCCTTGTAGCACCCTCATTCACCCAGCAATCGCCAGGGTACTCCCTGTGGTGGCTCCCATGCTCCGTGTGCTCTGGCCTCCCTCCCCACTGCTGCTGGCTGTTCCCTGGCCTGCACGGCTTCCACACCCCACCTTCCTTTTGTCTGCAAAGCTTCTCCCAATCTCCCACCTTCATGAGCAGATGTACCCCCATGAACCACCTACTCCAGGCATTACCTCTCTCTCTTTCCTTCTCTGTGTAACTCTGCCTTTCAAATAAATAAAGTAGATCTGTAAAAAAAAAAAAGATTTATTTATGTATTTATTTGAAAGAGTGACAGAGGGGGAGACACACACATACACACACAGGGAGAGAGAAGACAGATTTTTCCATCTGCTGGTTCACTTCTCCAATGCCCGCAACAGGCAGGATTGGACAGTGACAAAATCAAGAGCCAGGAGCTCATCTGGGTCTCCCACAGAATCCCCAAGTAGTTGAGCCATCGTATGCTGCTTCACAGGGGCATTGGCAGGAAGTTAGACAAGAAGCAGAGGAACCAGGCACTCTGACAGGGGATGCAGGCATCCAAGTGGCAGCTTAACCTGCTGTGCCACAATGCCTGCCCCTCACAATTTTTGCACCAAAATAAACATCTATTTTTACTTTAAATATGTGTTTTAAATTATTTATTTATTTATTTATTTAAAGGACCAAATTACAGAGAGAGATTTTCCATTGACTGGTTCACTCCCCAAATGGCCTCAATAGCTGGAACGGGGATGATCCAAAGCCAGGAGCCAGGAGATTCTTCTGGGTCTCCCACGTAGGTGCAGGGGCCCAAGGACTTGGGCCATTCTCTGCTGCTTTTTCCAGATGCATTAGCAGGGCGCTAGATGGGAAGTGGATCAGCCAGGATTCGAACCAGTGCCCATGCTACACCACAGGGCC